ATAAAACATAAACGAATAATTTTCAAACGCCCCCACTTTGTAAGGCAAAGGACCTTCCTTCGTTTGAGAGTTGGCTTAAGCCGTGTCACTTCACTTACATCCTCAGAAGAAAATTTCTCAGAATTCATTTTAAAAAACTACAAACACTCTGGCCAAATAGAAAATCCCATTGCTAAAATGTACTGTCGAGGGAGCTGTCGGGGTTGGGATGGGGTTGGTAGGCTGTTCAGCGCGCCCCTCCACTGCGACGTAAAATCAGGAGGATGAAGACCATCAAGACGATCAAGACCTCCCTCACCTGGCTGACCTGGCTTGTCCAAAATCAGCCGAGGTCAGGCGACGGACGAAGGCGATTGGGAACCAACGAGGAGCTAACAGAATGACAGCTGCTGTAGAAAGTACTTGGGAAATTTCTGCCACCTACTTTCAAGCTGATTTCTTGCTCCTCCGAAACGTCGGTAGACTTTCAACGTATTACATGGCGTTATACCACAGGAGGTGGTAATCTTCATCACCACAGCTGTGAGAACGTCAAATCCGACACAGGACAAGCTTCAGGGAGGCCGACTGCGGGCGTTTGTGTATACACGAAGTAGAGGGCGCTGTGACCCCGCAAGTTCACTGTAAGACGCAAGAAGTGTACTCGTACAATGCAGTGGCAGTGGTACACAAGACAAACTGAAATAAAGATCATATTGGCTACTGACAATGTGATAACTGTAAAGGTTAAAATCCATGTATTTTAAATAAGAAAAGAGGCCCAATATTCGCAAGGGTTTAGGAAAGTCGAACTTTGGTTGCCCGCCCAGCCTCCTATCCAGTTGGTACCGAGTTCTTTCCTCGAAGTTAAAGCAGCCGGGGAGTGAAGATGACCACTCACTTCAGCTAGTGCAGAAGTCAAGAAAACGTGGGTCCATACATCCAGAGCCCTACACGCCTTCATAGCGTGCAAAGTTTCTACCAGCAATAGAACACTTAAGAGGCCAAATTTAGGATTTGATAATAAAACACTCAAAGCAGTATGAAAAAATAAATTTCCTGGACTAAAAACTGACAATAATTTGACAGTACTTTAGATATGTCTCTCTTTCTTTCTTCAAATTGCCTGCATGGCAAGTGGCCACGCCATCTTGAATATCTACAAGGTTGGACGGTGCCACAACTCTAAAGATCACAATCTGAATCTCAGGCAGTTCATTCACTGGAATCGCGGGTTTGAGTTCCTCTCGAAGGTCAAGATGTGTATGGGATTTTCAGTCTTCCTGTTCAGTGTAGAATGAGTTCTTGCTATAGGTCAATCATCCATCGAATAAGTCCTAATAAATATCTAAAAGATCTATTGGTCTAAAATCAATACTCAATCGGAACAGGTCATGATTGATTTGAGGAAAAGTATTCTGCTGAAAGAAGAAGGTTGGCTTCATGTGTATTTATTTATTTATTTTTTTACTTTAATCCATGGATCATTGTACATGATATAGGACAAGTCAAATACTATACAATAATAAATAAGAATAATAATGATATAATAAATAATATAAAAATATACTAAATTAATACAATGATGATTCTGTCTGCCCATATTTGAGTCACTTTAAACTGCATGAGCTATAAATAGGAAAAATTAAAATCACAGTAACAAGCATAATACGATAAAATAAACTGACATTAATAAACCATATTGTCTTGCTGGCTCATTATCAGGTTTCAGTGATTTTTATTCCAAAGCACTATTGGATGAACATCAGAAAAGCCATATGATAGAAACAGAAAATGGAAGTGCTCAGGTTGAGTCCGACAACTTTTTACAGTCTTCAGTTTGTGTAAAAGAATTCCAACCATTGTATTCTAATAATGATAAAGTTGTGGATAATGGTGTGATGAACATGGACAGTAGGGAGATGTTAGGAACATTGAAGCTAGAGAATGGTGAAGGTGATACATTGCTAGTACCAGAAGTTTCAGGGGCTGAGAAAAGTTCTGTAGACAAAGATATTCAGAAACAAAATGAACAGGAAAATACAAAATAAATCAGAATGGTAGTGTGGGAGCATCCCCACAGCGTCTGGCAGACAACCGTCACTCTTTTCAGAAAGTGCCAAACAGGCAGCTGTGACCAAAGAGACACGGCATTTATACACTCAGGTCAGGTCATGTTACAACTGACGGTCAGTCAGTCTGTCGGTCTTGGTGTCGAGCCCCAGCTGGGGCTCAAGACCAGATATTCCNACTGCAACTTATATACCAGCTACATATATTTATAAACTTCACCGTGCCCCGCCTTTCCGTGCACGGCCTAATGGATGCGCGCTGTGACAACCTCAACTTTAGCTCCGCCTCCCGGCCGGCAGTATTTAAGACCGGGAGCCAACGGTGCAAACAGTTGGTACAGATCGAGTGATCGGAGAGGAGACGGTATTGGTGTCGAACGATTACGAGTTTCGTTGCTGCTGGAGAGGAGTTGTGATCACTNACAACTTAATTTATGGAATTTTACCAACTATTCTTTGACGATTTCAAGTTAATTAGTGAAATTTAAAAAATTTGTATGCGATTTCATGATAATTTAAAAAAATTTACAAAATATTTGGCGATTTCACTTTTATTTAAGGAATTTTATCAAATTTGTTAACGTTTTCTTATTGATTTAAAGAATTGTATGGAATATTTGAGCGATTTTAAGTTAATCTAAGGAATTTTATATAATTTTTAAGATATCAATCTAAATTATGATATTCAACAAAATTTTGGTGGAATTTACTCCTATGTAATTAATTTTAACATAATTTTGGCCGATTTAAAGATAATTGAAGAAATATTACCCCATTTTTGGACGAGTTCAATTTAATAAAAAAAGTCAATATTTTTTTGTGTTAAGTTACAAGTTAATTTGACATATTTTGACAACAGTTTTTCGATTTTTNAGAGTCTCTCCTGCTGGAGCAGAAGGAAGAATCAGCTGAGGAATTTCGAGAACAAAGACGACGTAAACGAAACCCCTCAGAGGAGCAGACTAAAAAGCCAAAGCCGTCAGCTAGCCCAAGGGAGCCCAGGATAAAATCCCAGGTTAAAGTGCCGACAAAAAATTTCTTTGCGCCCCTCAGGACAACAGAAATGGACGTCGCAGAGGAGACATCCGACAAAAGAGAACAACCATCTTGCAACAGGTTAGGTAGGCCTCCTCCNTCCATTATTTGCACATATTCAAGCTAATTAAATGAATTTTAACCAATTTTTTGAACATTGCTAGCAAATTTAAAGAATTTATCATTCTTATTACGATATCAAGTTAATTTAAGGAATTTTAACAAATTTGAAACGGATTTCANGAATTCTCACAAAAGACATGGCGGACTTTTCAGCCATAAAGAAATTCCTTGAAGACAGTAATTTGGCTTAATTTTCCTACTTTCCAAAATCAGAAAACCACATCAAAGCTGTCATCCGTCACCTCCCCCAAAATACTCCAGCGGAAGATATCTCTGACGGTCTGGTGAGTCTGGGGTTTGACGTCATTAGCATCAAACAAATGACCAGTCGTCGGACTCCTCCAGAAGGAACAGATAACATCTACAATCCCTTGTTCCTTGTTACACTTCCCAGAACTGAGAAGTTCCAAGAAATCTTCCGACTGACGAACCTCTGCGACATTGCCATCAAGGTAGAGGCATACAAGGCACAAAACGGTNTTTTTTGACGATTTTAATATTATTAAAGCATTTCAATCCAAATTTTGAGTGATTTGCATTAAACTCATGCAATTTTAATCAATTTTTAATAATTTCAACTCTATTTATGTAAACNCACGTTGTTTGTGGTGCGGAGGTGGCCACTTACACAAGGAGTGCCCAGAGAAGGAGAACACTGCCTCTACCCCAGTATGCTGCAATNATGGAATTTTATCTAATTTTTTAGAAATTTCAAGTTAATTAAGCAAGTTGACGTATAGTTGAACCATAACAAATTGTAGCAAACACATACAAGCGTGGAACCACAATAGATAGATCAGTAGAAATTTATGCCACGAAACCAAACTCATAAACAGGTCCATGACCCCACGGCATGGAATAGAAAGAAGAACTAGTAACAAAAACTAATAGTGTCTAACTAGCGTCAACAATGGAGTTAATCGAGTCTATCTGATATAGAACTTAATAGAAATGTATATAAGCATATATCTCGTCATACAGATCTTCTATGTGAATTGGTGACTTCATTGCTGATAATGGGGATCCAAATGGGAGAAAAGTCCAAACTGGGTTGGCTAATTGGGTTGGCCGAGCATGCCATATGGGCCGCTTCCTTGTATTTCCTATACCTGATGTAGCTTTCAATATCCAAAATCTTTGCTTCATCCCAGCCTACCCTATATCCCTCTTCATAGGCATGTTGGGCTAATTTAGATTTTTCTAGAAGAGCTTCTTTTAGGTTATGCATATGTTCCTGTAGCCGTACGGCCAGAGGTCTGCCTGTTTCGCCAATTTAGCTTCTGCCACATTCACAGGGAATGCTATAGACGCACTGTGCCCTCTGTTGCGGATCTCTTTTCGGTCTAGTTTTAATAAGGGAGTTCCTAAGTGTGTGTTTCGTACGGAAGATGGTCCTAATATTATATCAATTACCTATCCGTTTAAACTTTTCAGACACACCCTTCACATATGGANCACATACTGGATCA